TGCCAGAAAGTTGGATTCGGCGTACTTTGTGTGAAAGATAAGCTGAGTTCAAGATCCGTCTATGACAGCTTAATAGAGAGGCGGGAACCAGAGCACCTCTTGGTTAACTTGGTCTGTCACAACGAGTCTGCTCATATCTTCTGGTGCCCGGTTAACTCGTTTGATTTCATTCGACACACATTTCCCTTCAGCAGTTTGAACTTCGTTTCGTACAACCGAAAACAGTCAAAGGCCTATTCTGTCAAAAATGAGTACAAAATAAGATAAATTCATCACATTAATTGATGGATTTGCTTATCAATGTATTATCTAAGCAACACAATTTGTATTTGTAAAAAAGATTCACATCACCCTGAATCACGCTATTGGTTTTTATCAAAAGAGTATTAGGGAAATTCACTAAATACTGAGTAATTTAATATTGGAAGTGGAAGGCGGTAGGTTTTAATATGAAAGGCACTGATGGAGAAAGCATGGAATCTAATCACTCACCCTCCACCATCAGTGTTCTCTCTGTCATCTCCACTTCACCCAAAGTGGCATGTTTGTGTTGGCCGATGTCTGAGGAGAGACGAGGTCAAGGCGAAACAACCTTGGAGAAACAAATATTCATGATCAATAAGTGCTTTATTCCGAGCATTTAAATGGTTTCTTACGTCTGGACCTGCTTTTGTTCCCCTCATTTGCCTGTGTGGAGAAGCACCGGGGAGATTTATGCAGACAAGGTGAGGGGCCATTTTAAAAGCCCACATAGTATCACTGCTTCCAAATGTCATGTAATCTTAGGTTAGGGGAGTGCCGGGCACAGAGAGCTAAGTGATGTTACAGATAATGAATTGCCTCTGAAATACAATACATCGTGAGTATGATTCTTTGTTCCGAGCTCTGTACACTAACTCTGTACAATTAAAGTTATTTATCTCCCTCCTTTTTTTAAGTTCATCAATTATATTGTGATACACTTAATGTCCATAAGAGGATGATGTATGATTGGTCTAATTATTTCTTATTCACCATGCTTTCTAAAGCATATCAATTTTGTTAATACCATGTAATTAAAACACGTCAGTGTGCTACAAGTTTCTGGCTGTATTAATGACTATGAAAATTATTTTAATTAAATAGCCAATTATAGAAAAATCCTAACCATGAGAATTGACATTTAAATGAATTCAATTTAAATTGCTTTTCAACACTGTTTTATCAAAGCTTTATGGGGTGAATAAATTATTACATCAAACAATATACTGTGTCATTGATCATACACAAGTCCTGTCCCGTATCCTTACATTTTCAAACACTTTCCCTACGCCATACATCATACAGGGTGATTACATTTTGACATAGTCATTTGTTTACTACAATCTCATCCAACTGTACTGTACTTCGGTGTACTTTTTGGGGCGAAAATGAACTGCTCGTGTTACTTAACTGTGTTTTCAGCCACTCTGGGAACTTATTTGAAGTTTTTTTTTCTCTTTGGCTGCTCACTTTCAAGATCCTTCCTGTGCTAGAGTGATTTTACATTTGTGTGGAATTATTTCAACAAAGCATTGTGGTGTAATTTACAGCACAAGTATACAGACTGGACTTTTTTTAAACGTCTTTTTTGCTGTTTTTGTCATGCTGTGTTTTCATAACTTGGGTCAGACACATGCAGCCCACCCAGTCTGCTGGAGTGCCTTTGTACCTCCAGCGTCATGCGTATCCTGTGTTGCCTTTTCATACCTATTAAGCAGCTTTGGCTCATATATTTCTCTTTTTCCTCCCGCACGATATTAATGAAAGTCGTTTTTCAGACATTACAAGCGCAATGATTTGCAGTTAACCCAAGCAAACAAGAAAAATAGTGGGCAAACTGTTGTGACATTCATTGTATATAATGAAATCTTAATATGGTGCATATTTAAGTGAAAGGTTAGCAACATAAAGGGCAAATGGATTGCCTGGCAATGAATTTTAAGCAGCTATTGATTTTACACTACCAGCTACCTCTTCCCTGAATGATAATTTTGAAATGGACACTTCTTATCTTAAGGCTAATCTGACACAACATACAGATATACAGAATTTAAGGCAAAGGCCCTCTTACACCGCACATTCCATCCAACGAGAATACTTAGGCTTACCTTAAATATTCTTCAAAACAGAGCGATTGGAAGGTCCATTTGCTAAGAAAAAAAAACTTTACTATACTAAAGGAATTATGACATACTTCAAAATATTTGTATCTCAATATTCTCGATATTGGAAATGGTAGAGAAGAAACACTCCTCAGAAGCGTTTGTGAGTGAGAAGAAAAAAATGTAAAGACTTTTAAAAAAACAGCTGTGATGGAGTGCAGATGAGTCAAAAACGTCAGTGTCTGACAAAAGTGGGCTGATCTGCTATGAAGGGCACGTCATGACGTGCATGTTAACTCAGTTGGAGCAACGGTAATGCACCTGATCATCGACTTGACCACATCCCATTAAACAGTGCTCACTGCCCCCCCCCCCAGACTTTATCCCTCTTTCCTGTCCGGCCTGAGACTAACATTGAAGGAAAGTTTGACAGCTGGAGCTCTCGCCTTCAATAATCTGCTCTATTCGAGTAGCAACAAACGAAAAAAAAGAACAACAATTCAAGGATGATGGAGCTTTCAAAGCAATCTGTTGGAGCTTAATCATTGGAATTAAACCTTAATTAGTATCTTCACATCCACCTTATCTCACAATGTGCCATATGTAGATCTTATGTTGTTATCCAAACAGAAAGTGAACCCAAGGTATAAGTCATAAGAAAAAGACATTACACAGTTTTTTTTCAGTTCCAGGGTGCTTTATTATAGGACTTAGTTTTAACAAGTCTTGAAATTACATGAATACAACCTCTCATTGCACATCCACTGAAGAAAAACAGGGCCAAAATGAAGAAATAGTGTGTAAAAAAAACAAGCTGCATGATTCAACAGCTTGCAAAACCACCTTTAGCAGCAATAAGTTGAAGTAATCATTTTCTCTATGATTTTATCAGTTTCCCTTATAACTGTGGAGGAATCTTGGCCACATTGCCGGCTCGGCTTATTGGGGTTTGCAGGCGTTCACTTCTGCTCGGCTCTCTTAAGGGGCATCACAACCACTTGGCCTCTTTGCTTTATGGCCATTCTCTGGTAGATGCGACATTTGTTTAGTTTCATTATTCTGCCCGACCTAGTTTTGGCCAAAACTTTTTGCTATCGGACAGATGGTCCGGTGCTTTTTTTTTTTTGCTTCAGAGTACTTTCTTTTTGCAATGGACTCCTCCGCTGACTCAGCGCCCCGGTCCTGAGGCTGAAATCCTCATCGCTCCGTCACAGTCGCAGAGTGTCTGTGCCGGGTTTTCTGCGTTGGGTTTTCATGACAACGCGGCGCTTTCGGCCTGTTGCCAAACTTCTCACTGTTGTCTCATCTGCCCAGAGGAAACGGTTTCAGAAATCTTGTGGTTTGCTCGGATGCAACTTTGGAAACCTGAGCCGTGCTCTTTGCAAAGTGAAGAGGTTTTCCCTTTGTCAGCCCTTCAGAGCATGCCGTGTTTGTGTTTTTCTGACTGTTGTGTCTCTCGTGTCAGCGGAGGCCTGTGGAGTCTGAGACCTAGCCCTTTCTCTGAGCATTGTGGGGTGACTTTCTGGGATGTCAGTTCCTTGTAAACTCGTCAACTTTTGCCAATGTTTTCCACGTGCTGCTCTCTGTGGAGAACCATGCACCCCAAACTTGTTTGGAAATTCCTCATTACACTTCCCAGACTGAAGGTGTTGTGGAATTTTTCTTCTTCAAACAAGAGTTTTGGTCCCTGCCGGCGGAAGAAAGAGATCATAATGATGTTTAAAGCAAACCTGTGAGCTGCTTTTGGATGGAGTTGCTTATACAAAAGCGGCTCTTACTTCGCTGCGAACTTTGTGAAGTGAGGGCAGCTTTTTTGGGGCATCGCATGAGCAACTCGCGCTTCACGCTGGGTACTCTTGCTCGCTTTGAGCAGAGTCGTTATCTCCCGCGTTCTCTCAGACGCAGACCGAGAGTTTTGTTTAAGGAGAAACAAAAACTCCATGAATGATGAGTAACAGGGACGATCCACTCTAGGAGCGGGGCTGATGTCTTTCCTCCTTGGCGTTGGGTGGGAACACACCAGAATGCATCAAACCAACAAATAAGTTATTCATACTCTTAAATTCCATATAAACTTGTGTATATTTATATTTATATATGTGTGTGTGTGTATGTGTGATAAAGGATCTATTAAAGTCTGGAACTGTAAGCTGGTAGGGAGGATAATATGTCTACCTGCCTACAGTGCATCTAAGTTGTTTTTTAAAATATTTTTTTACATTGTAGAGTGTTTCTCTGGTTTAGGATCTTTAAAATAGGCTTTGGATGAAATTGATAATATGTTAGATTACTTTTAAACTGCAGCTGCAACCATTAAAGACGCTTCGGCTGAAATTTGAGTTTAAATTTTAAAAAAAAAGAAAAGAAAAAAAAAGGTATGACTGGATTTGTTCTTTCAAAAACTAGATCTCGTATTAGGTGAGATTTAGAACGCGTGATGGAGGCGGACCTGGAGCATTTGGGTTAACTACAGAGCAGTTTTCTGTTCTTCAAAGGCTTCCACTGTCCCCTGGCTCCTCCCTCTCTGTACCGTGTGACAATAACAACTCATCCACAGAGCGGAGCTGCACTTTTCAGCTCATTTTCCTCCTGTCATTCCTCCTCCTATCTTTGATCATTGTCCCGCCGCTCGGCCCCCGTTCCCCCCCCACCCCCAGAAAGAAAAGAAAAAAAGCCTCGCTCACCACCCCTTTTTTTCCCCCCCCCGTTTCTCTTTTTTTTTTTTTTTGTTACTTCCCAACTTATCCGAGGAGCTAAAACTCTCGTGGATTCTTTTCATTTAGCGGGTGTCTCGACAAGGCTTGGGGTTTTTTTTTTCCTACTACTTTGAACTTGGGCTATACTCTCTTCCCCCCCCCCTCTTCTCGTAGGTTGACCATGGCCGTGCCGGCTGCCCTGATCCCGCCGACTCCTCTGATCCAGCCGCCTGCGCTCGCGCCCCAGCTCGCGCCTCCCGCCACCACCGCGTCCCCGCCGTCGACAACTTCGTCCCCGTCTCCATCCTCCCTGGCCCCGCCGTCGTCGTCGTCTTCGTCCGGGCCGGGCCAGAACCTGTTCAGGTCGGAGCTCCTCGCCACGGGCAGCCCGGGCATCCCGACCCCGGGCGCGGCGCTGCCCCCGGGCAAGCCGGTGTACTCGACCCCGTCGCCCGTGGAGAACATACCGCAGAACAACGAGTGCAAGATGGTCGAGCTCCGCGGCGCCAAGGTGGCCTCGTTCACGGTGGACGGCTGCGAGCTCATCTGCCTCCCGCAGGCGTTCGACCTGTTCCTCAAGCACCTGGTCGGCGGACTGCACACGGTCTACACCAAGCTGAAGCGGCTGGAGATCACGCCGGTGGTGTGCAACGTGGAGCAGGTCCGCATCCTCCGGGGGCTCGGCGCCATCCAGCCCGGCGTCAACCGCTGCAAACTCATCTCCAGGAAGGACTTCGAGACGCTCTACAACGACTGCACCAACGCCAGGTCAGTGCGTTTTCCTCTTTTTAATTTTTTTTTTTAACCTTTTCTTTTACTCTCTCCGTTTTTTTGGGGGGGTTTAAATGTCCTTTAAACAAACGGCCCACGCGCGTAAAGGCGCAGGAGCAAGAAAGGGGGAGACATTTTTCCCCCCTTTGCGGAACTCTTTGATCCCAGAGATGTAATTAGCGATTTGAACATTGTTAACGTCTGTATGGATGTATGGATGCCCGCGCGCGCGCGTGTGTGTACGAGAGACAGTTTTGGAATCGGCGCGTGACGAGCTCCGTCGAAAACGAGGAAGAATTGTGAACCTCGGTTGTTTGTCGGAGGTGAGGAGTTGAGTTTAACCAAAAATAGAAAAGAATAGAAGAAAAGTTAAGTGAAAAGTTTTTGTCTTTTTTAAAAAAAAACACACACACACGCACACACAGGCGTGCGGGACAGAGCTGCGCCCTGATGGATAGCCTGCCTGACTCGGGACAAATAAATCGATAACGTAGGCTACACCTCGGCTGAGTTTCACGCTGCTTTTGAGTAAAGCGGAGTTGTCGAGCTGCCAGTGCAAAGATAATCCCTCAAATACGACGATGGCCTCCCTTTTTCTCTGTGTGTGTGTGTGTGTGGAAAACTCCAGTTTCGCCTCTGACTTTTATAACTTTGTCAACTTCCAAATTACTTTCCAAAAGCATCCCAATTGCGACTTTTAAGTTATGCCAAAATGACATTTTACCAGTAAAAAAGAAACCAGGCAGAAGCAGGTGGTTAGAAAAAAAAACGACCAGGTCTCCTTACAGGTAACCTTTTTTTTTTCTATTACGTTGATATATTTTATTTTGTAGTGTATAAAAATGTCACTCTTAAAGTGCACTCCTGAAAGAGGGAGTTGCAGGATCCATTTTTCAGTAGGGAACTCAAAAGTGCAAAAGGTCACTGAGCTCAGAGAGGACAGTTAAATAAGAATGAAGCTTACTTAAACATCTCCGGTTACCACGACACAAACAGAGGACAACCAGGCGTTTGTAAACTGCTGCTTGTGTGAAAATGAACACACTGACTCACATTAGCAAATCAGACGTTTCCAGATTTCTTTAAAAAAAAAAAAAACATGGAATGATTTAAGCCGGGGGATCAATATTTGATTAAAAGCTTTTTTTTTTTATTGTCCTGTTGCTCCTGTCTTTGATGTATCACTCAAGTCTCTTAGGATGGTTCAGCCTGGTCAAATTTACCATCGCACCTGTCACTGTGATTGATTCCGTATTGATCTGCTGCCCAGAAATGAGCTGGAAATGCAAATATGATGGAAAGGCTCGCGTCAGTGGGGGATAGCCATAAACACTGGGACTCACTTTGGAGTCGCGGCTTAAAAGCGCGCTCTGCTCCCTTTCTGCTAAATTAACAGAGCCAGATTGCAGCCCGACGCTGAGTTATGGACGCGCACGTGAGACTGGGAACACACACACGCACGCACACACACACACACACACACACACACACACACACACACACACGCAATATAAATAAGTTGCTGTGCAAACATTTTTCTTTTTCTTTTTGGCTCATTAAGATCTGAGATGATATGTGAGTATAAACTTATCCTGAGAAATGTCAACAATTAGATGACACTGGTGGGAAACAGCCCCCCCCCCCCCCCCCCACACACAAAATAACAAAACAGTGAAAAAAAGAAATGGAAAAAAGAATCCATAAACTTGCAGGACATTTTAGGAAAAACTTGGGAAACGTCGGCCATTCGGGAAATGCTGTTTTTTTTCTTGTAATCCGGTTAATTTGTCGGTATATTTTTGTTTAGAGCCGGCTGGGTTTTTCTCTCTCCCTCTCTCTCTCTCCCTCTTTGGCCTCGCTGCCCCCCCCCCCCCGCCCCCGCGCTATGTGGCCGTTCCAGAGGCGGTCCCCCCCCCCCAAAGCAGCTCACCTGTGCACTTTGGTGCTTAAGCACCATTTACATAAAGCATCAGAGGGCAGCTGAGACACCAGCAACCCCCCCGACCCCCCCCACACTCCACTCTACACACACACACACACACACATACACACACACACACCTCCTCCTCTTCCATAGTTAGACGTGTACGGCTCTCCTCTCAAGCCTGGCGAGGAGCTGTAGGTGACAAAGTATGTGGTTGAACTCTCTGGGTTGTCAGTGGTGGTGGGGGGGGTGGTGGTGGTGGTGTGTGTGTGTGGTGGTGGGGGGGGTTTGGCCGGCGACGGGGTTAAAGGATAATGCAGTGCCTCGCGTGGCTTTAATGACGCTAAAGTGCTGGGCTATTACGGGCACGCGGACGGGGCCGTAATTGTCTCTGAAAGCAGGCAGGTTCTCCCGGTGCCGGGCTGAAATCAATCACTCAGACCAGACCGGGCCGGCCGGCCGGCCTCACTGCCCGCCTCACTGCCCGCCTCACTGCCCGCCCGCCCGCCTCACTGCCGGCCCCATTTGGAGAATTACATCATGGAGCAGGGAGGCATCTGCCGGATAAAAGGCTTCTGCTGCTCAGGAGGAGTTGATTTCATTAGCGGGGATGCGCGCTCCGCTTTGCTCGGCCCTGTCGGCTGCTTGCCGCCGACACAATGATCACCCCCCCACCCCCTCTCCCCACCTCTCCCCACGCAGGTGAGAACGAGCCCCCTCCGCGAAAGGAAGATTTAAAAAAAAAAAAGGAAAAAACAGAAAAAGAAGAAAAATATCCCAGCTGTCTGGGATAGTTTAGCTCCTCATCTGGCCCTCTCACCACCATGTCACCACTCTCTTTTTTGTGTTTTTTTTTGTGTTACACAGGGGCAGAGTGATAACAATGAGGCGAATAATACAGCCCCACAATGGGCCTTACTATTTCACATGGAGTCCAGCCCACCCCGCACCCCACACCCCACACCCCTCTCCACTCTCCATTCCATCCCCTTCAAACCCTCCCCTCCCACCTTCTAAAGTGTAAGAACAACCCCACGCTGGTTTTTCTTCTTCTTTTTTTTTTTTCGGTGCGTGAGCGACACCACTTCCGCCGCCGAGGTCCGACCGACCAGCCAGGTGGTCGGACTCTGCTGCCCCCGGGGCACGCCGGACACAGAGAGAGAGAAAGAGAGAGAAGAGGTAGCTTTATTCAGGAGCAATGTTGGGCTGTAAATTAAAACATTTTTTTGAAAAAGTTTTTTTTTTTTTTTTTTACGACGTTCCTGCCGTCGACTCCGAACAATTTCTAATCAACATTCCGTCTGGGAAATGCCTGAACGCGTTTTTTTTTACGCGGCGTCCGGGCTGCCCGGGCCTTGTAATTGTTGTTCATCTTTAGAGAAAAAAAAAAGAAGAAAGAAAATACCAGAAAAACAGTCACTCTCGGCCCCTTCATTTTCTTAAGGACTCTCAAACCAGATTACCAGTTTTCACGTTCCTTACCGTACAGATTGAGGTTCAGTAATCCCCCCCCCCCCCCCCCCCCACACACCCACACACCCACCCACACACCCACGTTATGCCTCTGGCCCCTCCAGGAGCCCTCCAGGAGCCCCCTGCGTTTCAGCTACTTGTTTTCCTTTTCATTTTCCCTGCGGTGGGATGAAAAAGCTTCTTATTGCTGCGTGACACTTGAACTCTCTGAAAGGTTATTATAACACGGGATGGATGGGGGGGGGGGTGCATGGAGCTATCGCCCGTCTCTCATTGGCGGGCTCTGTGGAGGCAGGCTATCCGATGGCGGGGCGCAGAAACGCGGCAGTTAATTGACAATCATTGTCTCCCCCCCCTGAAGGTTAACCGCACGCCCCAGACGGCGTCCCACCACTGGGAGCGGGGCCGGCCCTTTTTTTCACTTACATGCCCTTCTTAAATAGATTTTCCCCGGCTCGTTTCAAGTCAAAACGGATCCGGCTGTGAAACGTTACACGTGGCGGGTCACGGCCAAAGCCGGCTTTCTCCCCCTAACAAATACGTGTAATTGATACCCCATCTGACAGCCGGTGTTGCGGGAGCTCTCACCTTTCTTGTTTCCGTTTCGAGCGTGTTTATGCCTAAATACACATATTTGCAAATGACGGTAATTGTTTTGTTTAGCGCTCAGTGTGAGCTGCCACGGCGGGTGCCAGCTCGTCTCTCTCCCTCTTCTCTCCGCCGCCGAGCGCTCCCTTTATAATATATTTGTTTTCTACAAGGCGCGGATGTGTTTACAGGTACTCAGGGGAGATTTCTGGATTCCATTCAAATCATTCCCAGTCAGAGTGGGTGCTAAGATACCCGTCACCCGGCAACCACATCCAAGAGGGAGCCGGGGCGATAATAACTTCAAAAACAGAGTGACAGATGCCTGATTAGAGGAGGAGAAGAGACGGAGATAGAGAGGAAGAGGGAGCGGGAGATAATGGTAGACAAAGCTGTTTAAAACCCAAATCTATTGAAGCACTTTTCACCAAAGCCAAATTGGCCCTCGTGTTTGTGTGTTGTTTCTTTATTGAAGTAAGGGGAGTCGGTGGGGGTGGGGGCGGGGTGGGCATTTCAAGTTTGTTTGTTTGCTTTTTATTTTCTCCTTTTTCTTTGCCCACATTTTTAATCCTTCAGTGGGGATCTGCTAAATTTGATTAGGTACAGTACATGTGCTCAAGTCAACTGTGCAGTTGGCAGATGGCGGCAAGGTGTTTTTTTAGTTATTTATTTATTTTTAGTTTTTTTTTATCCCCCCCCCCACCTTCCTCTAAACAAATAGTCTCCTTGAAAAATCAGAGCTGCTTTATTGACTTGACGCTCACTGAGTCGGAACAGGAGCAAATTAAAACATTTTTTAAAGGGAAAGTCCACCGAGTGGCTCACTTAACTAAGTGCGTTCTTCATTTCTCGGTCCCTTTCGGGATCGCGTTTCCCTTCAGCTGGAGACGAGGCCGAGCCAAAGGGCTGTTGAAAAACCGGCAGATTTTCACTTGTTAGAGGGGCTTTGTCAGACGCTGCCTACTGTCATTTGTGGATTTAGAGGCTATTTGCATGGCAAAGAAGCCTGCATTGTTAATTTGCCTGGTGGATGCATTAGTTGTCCGTGCTGCTGTCTTATTTGCATGCCTTTACTGGATCTGCAACAGCCACCGAATAACCAATGATTTTTCTTTTTTTTATTTTATTTTGTGATTTATAATCCCAATGCAATCTATATTTGTGTTGATACAGGTATATGTGGTTATATATATATATATATATATATATATATATATGTGTGTGTGTGTGTTTCTGTTAATGAACTTTGACTTTTATGGACAACAGACTGAATCTAAGCCCACAGGAGCATCCCCCTGCAATTAAAACCAGATTTGTTAAGCCTGATTTTCCATGATTTAACATTTGAGAGTGATACATGCCAGCAGAAGACTTGTCTCCCCCCCCGCACACACACACACACACACACACTCCCCCCTCCCTTCTCTCCCTTCCTACTCGCGGCCTCCTTTAGATTACAGCACATTTAGGGGAGCATGGCGGAAGTCACCGATGCTCGGACCAGGATGTTAAACGCTACTGACAGAAGTTAGTGGGAGCAGATGAGATTTCCTGATTGGAGAAGGAATGCAGGCCCTTGCCAGGCTCTGTCTAATATGGTCACATACAGAAATTGATTTTCCTCAGAAATTAATTAATTTTTCATATAGCCCAAAGCTGGAGTTTAAAAAAGAGTGCACACTTGCCGGTTTCCTATTTCTCCCTCTTTTTTTTTTCTTTTTTCTTAAAGAATTATTGCCTAATCATATTAATACTTTTGCCCCAAGGATGAAAGATAATTGTACAAATGCATTTGGAAATATGTATCACTGAGTATTTATGATTAAATTATGCAAATAACTCCGCTCCCATCCTTCTTGGGCCCAGATTGTCTAATTAGGATTGATATGGCGAATAGATGTTGGGGAATCTGAATACAAGCATGTCCAAAGAGCAGAAAATTGAAAATGACAAGGCTGGAATCCTTAAAAAGTGTGCTGCGCTTTCTCCCCACCCCCCCTTCTGTCTAATTCAGCGTAGCTGTATCAGGAGTTAATTTTCCCCAGCTTCATTTCTCGTCTGAGCTGACAGGAAAAGGAATCCATCAGGGAAGCAATCTCAGATGGGATTCCACAAATTTCTCCTCTTGTTTTTTTCTCCCCCTCTTCGTTTTCGTGCAGCCTATCAGGGATGAATCTTCTCCTGAGTAAACATGCAGATGTTATTCCACCAGTGTCAATGTTTTTGGAGCTCTTTGCTCCATACAAAGGGCTCCTCCTTAATAATTGAGGGATCCTAAGAACCGAATGTTGTTCGACAAAAAGCCCCTTGTTCTTTTGCAATTTCAAGAAGTACATCGTCTTAGACAACTTCTTCTTCATCTCTTCTCGAAGTAAAAAAGTCAGTGTTTGAGAGCTTTTCCTGTTTTCTTTTAAAAATGTAAATCGAAAAAGAGCGTCTTGTAAACAGACAATAAATCCAGTTTGTGTGAAGGCAGGTTACATTCAATAGTCAAACATCTGTTCTTCTAAATGAGTTTCAGCATAATTCAATAAGTTATTTCATAAACGGTCTCGAATTCCAGTTGGTTCGTGCATGTGAGAGCCAACAGTTAGATGCGACTCACTGGGCTCGGTAGCAGCTCACGGA